TTAGTAATATGGGGGAGAGGTATGAATTCATTTCTTCACACCCTAGCCATGGATTAAATAGTAGGGTTCTATAAAAGAAAATCAATATTATTCTGAAAAAAATGTTAATTGAATATTTACTCTAAAAAAAAGAATTATTCTTGCAATTCAAAATATGTTTCGGCTTTAAATAACACAAAAATGGGCTGATAAGCTCTAAAAAAAACCCAAATCTATCTATCTATCTATCTATCTATCTATCTATCTATCGTGAAATTAATCGTTTCCAAACAGGAACAATTCTTCATTTCTTGTTCGAACAGTTTGCATTACTGTCGGTCAAAATTATAGAAAAAACCTTTTTCTTAAAATCCCTTTTTTTATGAAATTAAACTTCTCAAGCCCACTGTTTTGGCTCTTTATAATACTGATGGGAATTTCATTCGAATATACACACACACACACACACACACATATATATATATATATATATATATATATATATATATATGTGTGTGTGTGTGTCGGGGATAATTGTCCATCCCACAAAACTTTTTGCTTTCTAAAAAAAACCCATGGAAACTGAGTTTCATTTTTTTCAGGTTTTCAGATAAGATGGTTAGCCATCTTGACACTATTTGTCGGAAGATGCATTGAACGACCTTTTAAATTATTCAACTAGAAATAGAACCGGTCAAAATCGTTTTGCGTCAGCCCCACCATGTCTTTCCAACTGAGCAATGGTGAGAGGAAAAAAATGATTCAGGACTTCAGTAATGGTACAAATATTCATATTCTGGCTTCCACCTTCAATGTCCATCCAGGGAACAGTGAATAAGGTTAAAAAAGGAGTAGTAGAGAGGAAAAATTCATCAGGAGTTCAGAACAGCAAGAAGGATCTTCATTTCAACTTAGAAATAAATGCATTGTTATTGTTTAAAGTAGAGTCCAGTAGTATTATAAAAACCTCGGAGAATTCCAGTAAGATATCTTTAATCATTTCTAAGATACAACGGTTCAAAGCCTAATGTAACAATTGGACAATTTTTATTGTTACACGATTTGAACAATTTTGCTGTTACGCTCGGTGTGTGTGCATATATATATATATATATATATATATCGTCCGCCGGTTGAGCACTATGGAGAAGGTGAATTTTTAATAGTGTCTGCTTCTACTATTAACGCATCGTCCTTCTGTTATGAATTGATAACCTGGCTGACTGATGCCAAAATCGGCCGAAAAGTTTCCCATCCTGCCGATTTATGAGTTCACATGCCAAAATGGATTTCGTCCTAGTCATGCGGATGATGTCAGCTGATGAGAAAACAGTCTGTCTTCGGATAGACAGACTGTGTGTGTATGCATATATATATATTTATGTATATATATAACATATAATAATAATGTTAATTTTTTCAATATCTGATCTAGAATCTATTATATCCGATTTAACACGAAATGGTTTTTGCTTACTAATATTAAAATTCCAATCGAACTCCAGTCGAATCCATCACATTCACTTATGTACTAATACCCTTGGGAAAGGTATGAATCCTCTTCTCCCACCCAGCTATGGGTAAATAGCAGGACAGACCGGGTTCTATAACCCTGGATGGCAACGGGTCTATCGCAAAAAGAAATGGTAACCTAGTGTGGGAAAAATCTGCCTCGTCAGTCATGTATCGAAAGATACATGATCGCCTAAGCGTGTATCACGCATGCACATAACTGACTAACTAAATATTAAGATATGTATTAATAATGGCCACAGCAATTGGGCTGTTCAAATGTATTGTTCACGAAAATTCTATAGCGACCGATATTCACCCAGTGTCCAATTTCGTTGAAACACCGAAACGATCATTGGTTAAGCTACGTTGAGCCTGGTTAGTAAATTGATGTGTTACCAATTGGGCATAGTAGGTAGTATAGGCTTGGATGCGCGGGTGGTGTAATGGATAATGGCCCAGAATTGTTAATCGGGTAACCGAGTTCCAATTCCGGTTGGGTTCGTTATATTCAATCAGGCGCAAATACCCATGGGAAAGATATCAATCAACTTCTTCTCCTTCTTACTATGGGTTAATTAGTAAAACTTGTATCACTAAATTGCTATTATCTCCCTGCAAAAAGAATTCATACAATCTAAAGATATTTTCTGACTTTAAATAACCTGCAAAAGGTTGATAAAAAACGAATCTGTCAATTAGTGTCCAATAATTTTGGACATAGTTGTTTTGATATGACTGCGAGGCTGGATGTTAGGAATACATTTTCTCGACTCTATTTGTCCTTTCCGCGAAAAATGTTCCAAATTTATGTTCTTATTTACATGGGAATACTTGGTAAGATCGACTTATAAGGAACAAATATGAGAATAATCCGAAAATTTTACTAGTAGCGAACTTTCAGCTTGCTGGTAAGAAACGAATTAAGAAAGCACACACAAATAGGAGGAGGAATAAGACAAGGATGCATCTTTTCACTGGATTACAGAAAGAGGATTTGAAGAGAACTAGAAGTCCTACCAGGATTTATTATCGGCGGCCGTAAACTTAACAACATAAGATACGGCGATGATACTGTCTTGAAGGCGCACAGCAAGAACAAGACAACGTCGCGAAAGAAATCGAAAAGAAAACAATGCACATCAGTTCTCAACTCTGTATCTATGCCGATTACATAACCATTTACTCCTGTCTCGATAGTAAGTCTGATCCAATTCAATTGGAAGCTGATATAAAAATGATCTGCAGTCTGTTGTTAAAAGGGACAAGGAACGGCATGCTAATTTTAACCCCTGCAAAACGAAACTTTTTATCATTTAATCACCTGAGAGACCCCTTTCTTCATCCATCCGTATGGGTGATACTAACCTCTATGAGTAGCTCGTTGCACCTTCTCGAACTAACATTCTCGTCGTCGCTGGCTGTTGACTTCAAGGTCCACTTATATATATATATATATATATATATATATATATATATATATATATATATATATACTAGTAATAATCTTTAAGTATAAGAAATTATACTCGTCCGGAAAACCTTCGGTGTCTTGATTTGTGAATAATCAAACCAATACCAAAGGGAAAAAAAAGGTATAAAAAAAGAAAGAACAAAGAACATGTACGTCAGCCGAAAATAATCGTCTATAATCCAAGTCCAAAGTCCAAAGAAAAAAACCCCGATACGAGTAAGCAAAATAACTAAATAAAGTGCACAATACGTTAAGTAGAGCAGAGCTATTTAAACCTAGAGAGCCAGACAAACCTACTAAGGTTTCACCTATGCGGATCGTTGATCCGCTTAGGTGAAACCTTCTTAGGTTTAACTATATATATATATATATATATATATATATATATATATTCAAACCCAACGGTTTGACCCAAACCAAGAGTAACGTCTTCCTTCCCCCGAGCCGCTCTATCACAGAACATTAGCTGGGTTAAGCAAGGATATACAGGTGATATAATTTTGGGGGATTAGAAAAAGTTTTCCTTCTGTGATTGTTCATACTGTTCTTTTGCAGATATATTCTATCTGAAAGTTTACATATCTCTCTCTCTCTCTTTTTCTCTCTCTCTCTCACACACACACACACACACACGTGTAAAAGTTGGGTGTGAATACTTGGATGAGTATCACCACGGAATTTGTGAGTAGCGGCGCTATATTGAGTCTAGTCAGTTTTTTCTACATCACCGAGGCCCGTTGGTCCAGTGGTATGACGCCTGCGTTGTATCGTAACGGTCCGGGTGGATGCGCACTGCTGATGTGTCCCAAAGTTCTGCATTCTGTTGAGGATTCTTCATGACTATGAATTACTATAATAATTAGTCTAATCTATATATATATAAACAGATAACTGAAATCTTTTATAAGATCAGCGTTCCGTTTAAATATGATCACGTCGTCGTCACGTGGGCGATGTTGTGAAAACGTATTCCTAAAATTTGAGTATTTTGAAGGAAGAACGAAAAGAATTTGTTTGGATCGGTCTTGCTTTTATGTCCATCGTCTTTTTCATGTTGAATTGAATATGGTCTATGTTAATTATGCTTTATGAATATGTCCTGAAGATGGTCTATTAGACCGAAACGTCCGACGTTGACATTATATTAACATTAAAACAGCATAATTGCATATTAGGATTTTTGTTTGTTTTTTCCCTATATTTTTCTTCATACTGTCGGATCTATATCCATATAATTGCTTACATATATATATATATATATATATATATATATATATATATATATATATATATTACTTAAACGTTATTATAGTGTATACTCCGTATTTGAAATAGACGCCCCATTTTTATTTATTAGGCATTTTGTATTGCCTCTATCGGCAGGGTCATCCGAGAAATCTTACTAAAAATAATGCAGTGAATGGGCAATAAATGGGAACACACCGTTCACCGTTTGGCCCAGTGTGCTTTATTGCTCGGCTATGGAGAATGAGCCAGAAAGTAAGGTTAAATGTTTCAAATTATTCTCGAGGCTAACGCGTAGGAATGAAGACAACAAATTATTCAATAATCAATAATAATTAATGGGGAAAATATTACCAAACCACAGTATAATATAGCTACAAATATTTGCATTCCGAGACAATTATTCTTACTCAATTGCCTCTAGAATAGTTTGAAACAGCCGTTACCGCCTATCCAATAATTGTTAGTATAATACACTATATGTAGCTGCTCATGATGTACTATTGACCAGCATATAACTCAATACACATGGCCTGAAGATTGCGTTCACGCATGAAAGAAACTGTCACCACACGGTGTTGACATCAGTGTCCACCTATATATATATCCAGAAGAAATCTACTTCAAAAAGCTTAGGGCGTGCCATTGGCACCATGACATATAGAAAAACCCAGGGCAAAGTCATTTCGTCTTTAAAGTCTTTCGTCTTCTTTTAATGGAATAGCCCGGATGTTATGGCTACGGGGCTGATGGAAAAACCCGGATGTGTTTGATACGTGTGTGTGCCTACCTTCGAGCGCGTATAAAGTCAGTGGCAGTGAACAAAAGGTGGGAGGAGACCGAGGAGAAGATTTGCGGATATTCGAACCCACGGCTCTGAATTCGTAACAGTTCGATACAATCGATCTTTGGATCGCATTCTTATTCTTTAAATGTATTTAGCCCAAACCTCGGAGTGTGGGGAGCGTGATTTTCGCCCAGGCATTACCTCTCCCTCGGGAAGGGGACTGGGTTTATTGCCCGGCTCCCGATGCGTCCCCAAAAGGGCACGTGCTGACGGGGCTTGAGAAATTTTCTACGGTACCGCTATTAAACCCACTTTAAACCACGACCTTATGTCCCACCCGGTTGCGGCGTGGGCGACCAAGTGGATACCTATATTCATGGGCAAAAGTGCTCAATAACAGAGATAGAGCGTATGTAAATATAAAATAAAATGAACCTGAATGTCCCAATATATATATATATATATATATATATATATATATATATATATATATGTGTGTGTATATATATATATATATGTGTGTATAAATATATATATATACATATATATATATATATATATATATATATATATATATGTATGTATATATATATATATATATGTGTGTGTGTGTGTATATATATATATATGTATATATATATATATATATATATATATATATATATATATATATATATATATATATATATATATATATATATATATATGTATATATATATATATATATATATATATATATATATATATATATATATATATATATATATATATATATATATATATATATATATATATATATATATATATATATATATATATACATACATACATATATATATATATATATATATATATATATATATATATATATACATAAATATATGAAGGTCAAAGTATTAGAACAAATTATAATGATTCCCTGCTGAAATGAATAAACTTGGCTAATATCATAATAGTATTCCATTAGGACTGAGCATTATCGATCACGAACAATCGCAAAACCTCAGACGTCACCATAGGAACAAACGCTCAGTCTTATTGGTTGATGCAGAGACAAATTATGCGTAATATTGGCAATTATCAATTACTATATACTTGATGGAGAGAGCGATAATGAATAGAAAAAAGTCGTTGACCTGTTCAGAAAAAGATGCTTTTCACTTGTGATATTGAATTCGAGAGCAAAAAAAGGAGGAAGAAAATGTAGGTAAAAAAAGACTGAAGGTGAATGAGAATGAAAACTGTGTCAGAGAGGGCGAAAAACTTCGGGGTGGGGTGAAGGAGGAAGAGGAAAAGCGAAAGAGAGAGACAGAGAAAGAGAGAGAGAGAGAGAGAGAGAGAGAGAGAGAGGTCGATAAGTAAAACAAACAGAAAAAAAGGAACTGATAAAGCGAAGAGCAATAATGATTAAAAGAAAAGGCGAGGGAGAGAAAGAGGAAAACCGAGAGAGATAGATAGATAGATAGAGAGCGAGAGCGAAAGAGAATGAGTTAGATGTGTCGATAAGAAGGGAAAGAAAGAGAGACAAAGGAACTGGTAGCGCGAAAAGCAATAGTGATTGAAAGAAAAAGTGAAGGAGAGGAAAAGGAAAACACAGAGATAGATATAGATAGATAGATAGGTAGATAGATAGATAGAGAGAGAGAGAGAGAGAGAGAGAGAGAGAGAGAGAGAAAGAAAGAAAGAAAGAAAGAAAGAAAGGTCGATTAAAAGTGAAAAAGAGAAAAATGACAGAGCGAAGGGAATTAATGATTAGAAGGTCGGGGAAGAAAAGGAAAAGGAGAAAAATAGATTGGAAGAGTAAGGAAAGATGGAGCTTGTGGTAGGCAGTTGTAAAACGAAAATATTAACCCTCATATAAAAATTTATATAATAAAAAAGAAATTTACAATTATGCAAAAATAATTAAAAGGTAAATAAAAAAATAATACAATAGACTAGGTTTCTTTATGACTCCTTCTTCTGCTGGGGGTATTTTACAAAAACATTTATTAACAGAAGAAAGTTACTAACGTGTATTCTTGAAAAAAAGTAAAAAATGGCTTGAATATAATTTTGTGTGTAAAAGTTTGTATATTTAATGCTCCAATTGATGTTGCTAAAATGATGACTGGCAGTTTTTTTTGAAGAAGCATGTATAAAATCCCGTTTTTGAAAATTTTCAAAAGGAAAAAGTGGTTCAATTATGGTCTGCAAACCCGTCAAAATAAAGTTTGCAAACAGGCGTCGTTTTAAAAAATATATTTTAAGATTTGCTTAACCAATGGACAAAGCACGTTACGACCCCAAAATATCAAAAATTGGACCGATTTATGGCTATTTAAGAAGTGTGGTTTTTCAGTCAGGTAAAAAGGGATTTGGTTTTTACTGGCGAAAGGTTCTGGCAGTTGCTGAAGGCTGAACTTAGAAGAAGAAGAAGAAGAAGAAGAAGAAGGTTTAAGTCTTTTACCAGCGAATGACCGCGGGTAACTTCAGGGATCTAAACAAAGAAAAAACTAAAAACCAGAACCGACGAATAAGTAGAAATGAAAGGAGAAAATTCTACAAATTTAGAGAGAGATACAATTATATTTTTGTAGTTGTTTGCGAATGTTTGACACAAAATCAGAGGTATTAACCCTTATTTTGAACTGTTTATGAAAACACAAGTCTTAGTTTATAAAGTGAACAATTGCCTACTAGAAACTTAGCGACGTCTGTGAATTTGACATCCTTCTCCACTTCTTTCGACTATTTCTCAAATTATAGTTTAGGTATATGGAAGACTGGGGCGAGTATGAAGAGTAGAGCTTGTGGCAGCCATTTATAAAAAAAATGATATTAATCTATATAACTTTGGCGTTGGTTTTAAACCGACATCTTTTTCCGTCCATATATTGGTGACTATTTTATGACCAGTTCGTATTTTTTTGATTTCAGAAGAGAACTTAGAAATTTTCCAAAATATATCAGTGAAATTTTCACTTTCCAAAATTATAGTTTAGTTAAAATAAAAAAAAAAGATGGCGTCAATTTAAGCTGATGCCAGAAAGATATCGGTTAAACTGATGCATTCTTTTCCTCATGTGTGAACATTATGCGCAAAGGTTTTATTTTCTTGATTAAGAATTAAAATTTGGAAATTTCCTCACATCTTTCACTGAAACATTTTACGGTTCAGTTGGTATTCGGTTCGTTTCCAGTGAGACATTTTTAAAATTATGTCTCATTTAAAAAAAGTATAGCTGTTAATTTGATCGTTGTTTAACGTTAATGAATGTCATTTTCTCCAGACATTTATAATTGAAATCTCCATTCACGTTATAATGTTGCTTAATATTTTAATTTCTATTCTAGTACTAGATTGTCGGTTAGGTCTCAACCATAAACAGTTGAAATAGCTATATGTAACCGTAAGTTCTATGCTGCCAGTTTCTTCTATCGCAATTCTCGCTTGTGGAACTCTCTTCAGGTTTCTTGCTTCCCAGTCAACTTTGATCTTTAAAAATTTAAATGAATTGTTAATCGTTATCTTCTATCTTCTTAATTCTTATTCTTTTATTGTCCTCTTACCATAACAGTATACTTTTCTCATATTCGCAAACACTCAGTAAACCCCCTTGCATCTTAGTGGCTTTCTTGCCTTGCTTGGGGTGAAACGATAAAACAAAAATAAAACAAACTACGTCATCTTCTGCCTTCTTAATTCTTATTCTTTTATTGTCCTCTTTCCTTAATAGTATATTTTTCTCAAACTCACTAACACCCAGTAACTCCTTACATCTTAGTCGATTTATTGCCTTGCTTGGTGCGAAATGATTAAAAACAAACAAACAAAAAACAAACTATATTATCTTCTGTTGTCTTAATTCTTGTTCTTTTATTGGTCTCTCTCCTTAATAGTATATTTCGCATATTCTCTAAAACTCATAACCACGTACTTGCGTCTTAGTGACATTATTGCCTTGCTTGGGTCGAAATGATAAAGAAATTGCCGATAGAACGGGATTATTTGTGGTCTCTGATACAAATAGATCCCTATTTTAAATTTGGCCTTATGCTACGTTTGAGTGAGCCTGTGGTTAAATACCGATACAGCTCTCAACGAAAAATAAAATACTTTAGGAGAGGAATTACATTTTTCTAAAGTAACTTTGAACATGTCTCATATATTTTCCTCCATATAACTTGTGATTATTTAAGCTCAGAATGAGTTCCACTGGTACCATGAACCAGTATGCTGCATTATGGTGTCACCGGCTACTAAAGCTATTCCGCCAACATAGTTTTCACAGGAGGAGGGTGGCTAGACACTCTTTTCTTTCTTCTTTTATGTGCTGTGTACCCTCAGGACGTAGGCGATCATGGCCCTCCACACATTCCTGTCACTTGTAGCACCTATTAAGTTTTGTGCTTTTTTATTTCTCCCATCCATTTACTCAGCACATCAAGTATGCTTTCCTCTGTCTCTCTTTCCCTCAATCTGTCCTGTGAGTATCAGATTTTCCAAGCCCTCCTTCCTCATGACATGCCCCAGAAAATTCAACTGCATCTTCTTGATGTTAAGTATAAGTTTCATTTTTGTTCCCACTTTCTCTAAAATCTCGTGGTTGCTCACATGTTCGATCCACGGCATCCCCAGTATCCTTCTGTAGAACCGCATTTCTGTTGCTTCGAGTCTCTTCTTCATTTTTGACGAGATTGTCCAGCATTCGCTGCCAAACAAGAGGACAGATATCATGTAACAGTTCATTACACCTTACTTTGTTTCTAACGAAATTTTCCTGTCTCTTAATACTTTGCTTAGGTTTTGGAATACATCTTTGGTCATCCTAATACGCCTTAGGATCTCAGAGTCACATTTTTCGTCTTCAGAAAGACCACTTCAGTTGTAGCATACCTACGGACGACATCGGGTATGTCCCCATTCACATCCCCAGACGAGCCTATGTCGAAGGGCAGTGTCTCGTCTCGAGAAACAGTTACCCGACCCCGTTTTATACGGTGTCTACGGGGAATTTTTGGCTTAGTCTACGGGCTCGGATACCTCACATTAAATTCTGCCTTGTGCCACATCTGACGGCATGGGGCGGTTAGTAGATAGGTATCCTGCAGTTGGAGATTCATTGTGGAATTCACTTGACTCACTTCTAGCAGCTAACTACTTCTACGCTTCGCTGGCGAATCTTATATGTGTTGTTCTTGTCCTAAGTATTATCGTCCACTAGCAGTAGAGCCCGGCGTTGCCCGGGGATGTAACAGTAAGAGATAAATCAAGTATCGACCATCATAAAGACTGAAAAATAAAATTGACAAAGATTATTGTTTAAGGTTGACGGACACGCATGTCTTAATTAGTGTTTTGTTTTTTGTTTTTTTTTTTTTTTTTTTTACGAATTGGTCAAACCCAAACTCAAACAAAAACATTGTTTTCAATCGTTCTGAGTCTACCGATTGAATAGAATTTTATTATAAACAATTGTCTTGTAAATGGAATTTTTAAAGCATTCTGAATGTAAAAATAAAGAAAAAATGTGTTCAAGACAATAAGAAACACTACCTGCCAAAAAAAGTGAAGTTTTATTGAAATCGGTTGAAAAATGTAGGAAATCCGATCCCATATATAAACGAACACACACACACACACACACACACACACACACACACACACACACACACACACACACAACCTGGGTTTTATAATAAGTATAACTCTATATGAGTTGTCCCCCTTTCATTCTCGCGATGCCTCTTAATCGTGTTTTCAAATTGATTTCGTGCAAAAACAATTGTGTTTTTCCAATTTTTGGCTCTGTCAGAACAACCGCAAGGTAATTTTACGTAGTTCTGTGAAGTTTTGTTGAAATTGGTTGAAAAATGTAGGAAATCCGATCCAATATATAAACGTACAGGCACACATACACCCCCCCCCTCACACGACCTGGGTTTTATAATAAGTATGATTACTAACCTTCGTGTGATTATTCTTATTCAGTAACCTTCTCTAGGCTACAACAATTTCAAAGATATTTAAATTTCCGCACTTGTTTGATTTTATTTTTGATTTACCCTTTAGGCGCATTTTTTGACTGATAACCATGGATTTTGTCTTCTTGGACTTGTGCCATTTTTGGAATCTTGAAATTAGTGTTTAATATTTTTGTTGTCAATTATCGAGGAAATAAAGAGAATGTATAAATCCAGTTCTATATGTTTGAGTTTTGTTAAAATTCTAAATATAATTTTGGTAAACAATAAAAATTTCCGAGGAATTATATAGTAATAGCAGTGTCAAGAGAAAAAGCGACCTTTTGATACTCCATTATTTATTTGTTGGTACATATGTTAAAGTTTATCAATTTTTTTTGTTCTCCTCAAGAAAAATATAGACGTCATATTTTTGTTCGCATGTGGGTTCGCATAATGTGGTCAGAGAATAAACGTGTTTTCCATCCCCCCCATATATATATATATATATATATATATATATATATACACAACAATTCAAAAGTTTGAAGGAACCCTGGTAATTTTTTTAAATTAGCCCCCAAAATAATCGTTTTGTACCTTAAATGAGAAAAAATTATTATACAAAGTTAAAAAAGTGAGAAATAATTTTTATTAGGAATTTTATTATGCCAAAAAATAGAAAAAGCATTTTATGATTAAATTTTGCTCTCGCCAAAATATCCTCCTTTAACCTTGATTACTGCAGCATAAATTTTTGGCATTCGTTGCAAAAGTTTCTTAAAGTATGAGTTTCATAATTGATTCCATTCTTTTTTCAATGACTCTAAGAACTCTTTTTCATTTTTTTTTTCAGTTTTTTGCCAAGTTTATCCCATGTAAATTCTAGGGATAGCTTCAAACTTTTGAACTGTAGTATTTTACCATGATCAAAATTCCTCCTTTTACAAGTCTCATTTTAATTTTGATTTGTTGTTATTTGCGTTTGAAATTTATAACTAATTTTTTACTCACTAATTATTTATCATCGCCCGAGGAGGCACAATTTGAGTGATGAAACTTGAAAGCTATAATGTAGCGATTTTTAAGATGTTTTTGCTTTAATCTCATATAATAAATAATATTAAGCTCTACTCTGTATTGATCCCCTTTTAAAAATTAAATGCTACAGCCAGAGGAATTATACCCTATTTGTACTTATCCCATACCTGGATATTTTGCTTCCTTTACGGTGGAGCACTTTTTACATTTGTTTTTACTACATGAACATGTATGGAACTAATTTTGGAATTTCTCTAAAAAACATTCACACTACAAACAAACAGAAATATTCCGAAAAATTGGTTTTAAAAACTGAAGATTTGATCGGACAAATGAGATAGAAAGCTCAATTTTTCCTTCTTGATCAAGAATTTTCGAATAACATTGCTTTTTATGGATTTAAAAATTTGAAAACTGCACCCCTAACCCTTATATGGTCTTGGAAATGATCTTTTAGCTATCATTAATAGCATCTCTTTCCATAAAAACAAGAATCATTTTCAGAGACATTTAGACTGCGTTGTAAAAGAAATCAATAAATAGGTTAAAGTATTCGTTCAATCTGTTAAAACAGCTAATTTCTATATGTTTAATCCCCCGCCCCAAAAAAATATAGTGTTTTAATGAAAAAAACTAACCAAAAATTGCAGAAATGTGGATAATATGACTATTAATTTAGTTGAAAAATTGATACTGCTAGTAAAACTATTACTGCCAGGCTTAAAATAAGCAATAGATTAAGTAAGCTTTGTAACAAGAAATCATATTTTCTGATTAATGATCATAAACCGGATTTTGAAATAAAACTTCGTACGATGATTATCAGCTCTACCAGGACTGAAATTGGAAGGATTAGCAAGGCTATCCTTGATAGAGTCAACAATCAGATTAAACGGCGTAGACAAGTACTACAGATGTTATCAATTGGTTCAAAGGGATTAATAATAAGATGAGCTGTTCTTTCATTTAATTTGATATCATGGACTTTTACCCATCGATTTCCAAGGAAATGTTCACCTTACTTTTGGTGTTTGCCAAAGAATATTCCAATATCTCCATCGATGAACTTGGTATAATCATGAACTGCAGAAGATCTGTTCTTATTCACAATAATGAACAGTGGGTTAAGAACAATTCTGATGATCACTTTGATATTTCTCTGGGATCATTAGATTCTGTAGAATATTCTAACCTGGTGAGTTTGTTTATTATATATAATCTGAGTGATTATGATGATGTTAGTGTTGGTAATATAGGGTTATATAGAGAATATAGTCTTATGTTAGTAAAACTTTTTGCTAATTTTAAGTTTGACAAATTAAGAAAAATAATACATAGATAATTAAAAAGCCTAAATCTTAAAGTTAAACAGGTTGCTTTTTTAGATGTTACGTTAAATCTTATGAATGATGTATTACAACCTTATATGAAAGCCAATGCCAACCTAACATATATTCACCCAAACTCTAATTATTCTCCATCTGTAATTAAATATATACACTCCTCTATAAAATAACAAAGGTGTTTTCAATAAGTATAGTAGTGTTTATAATAAGGCCTTAAAAGTA